GGAAGCCAGATCATTCAAGCCACAGAGTAGCCTGTTTGCTCTTGGTAACCTGACCTACGTTAGTAGGAGCCAGACAGGTCTCCTCTCACCAAATGTAGGTCAAGGTGTGGGAGACACTCCCTTGGGATGAAACAGGATCGACGGAACATTAAGGTTCAGCAGTTGAATAATTTACATCCATCCCACTTACAACACAGTTAGTGGGCTCCGTGTGACAGGAGGGTGATGAGAGCGTGGGCCTTCTAGAACTTAGCACAGAGCAGAGAGACATCTACAATTAGACTCTCGACTTGAGCAAGGTTTTCCAAAAGGAGTACAAGCAGGGCGCCTGGCTGGCTCAGCGGATTGAGGGTCCGACTCTTGATTTCAGCTAGGTCATGATCTCGGGATTGTGAGATGGAGCCCCGCTTTGGGCTCTGTGCTGGGCATGGAACCTGCTGATCTCTCTCTCCCTCTGCCTCTGCCCGCCCCCCCCAAATAAAAACAAAACTTAAAAAAAGGAATGCATGTGACAATCACACCTACAGCTTTTAGACCCATGGTCTGTCCCTTATGCTGGACAGGACTGTCACCTACAAAAGTACTTTGCACCTAGCAAAATGTATAGCATGTACTCAATACTCAATACTCCTAGCTGAATGGACACAGGAGTAAGCAGTAATAAAATGTTTGCTGAGGATCTGGCACTATGTGGTTAGCTATAAAACATATCCTTAATTTGAATGGAAAATTATGTCATGAACATCTCTTGGATGCACTAAGCCATCCCTTCAGCACAACAAAAATTGACATACTCTAATCAGAACTCATTACCTTCCTGCCAAAAAAAAAATCTGTTCTCGCTTCCACGTACAAGTTATCTTCAAAGAAGGCAAGCATTTACCTTTCTTCTGTCTCAACACCATTTACTGAATAATCAAGAAGGGCTTTCCCCACTGGATCTATAATCCCACCGTTTCTATTCTGTACCTTTATTTCTCAGATCCCATGAGTATGTTTCTCTCCCCTGGCTTCATGGCTTTGTCTATTCCTGTGTCAGTCTTGTAACATTTAAGCGCCTGCTACTTGACAAACAGTAGTGTGTTTTATACTGAAATTGCTATTCTCGAGCACTTACACTTCTAGGGAAATTTTTCAGTTCATCTCATTTCCCTCAAAACCCTACCTTGAGCAGCATAACACCTACAGATTAACTTGAGAGGAATTACCATCTTTATAATACTGAATTTTACCATCTAAATAACAAGATGTTTCTCCAGTTAGTGTTCTTTTATAACCTACAGTAAAGTTTTATAGTTTTCTACACAGAGGTCCTGTGCGTTTCTTTTTACATGTATCCCTAGACATATCATAGTTTTTAACTGCTTGTGAAACTAGGATCCTTTCTCTATATTTGCTAACTGGTTATTGCTGATATAAAGGGAAGCTACTCAATTATTTTACACTTCTTCTGTATCTATTTTCTGAGGCTAGCATGAAAGTCGAGACTTCAGTAGCTTTCCAACCTTTCTGCGAAAAGAAACTTCTATTAAGCACTGAGTCCCTTAGCGGCGCCTGGGTGGCTCAGTGGGTGAACCGTCTGCCTTCCGCTCAGGTCCTGATCTCAGGGTCCTGGGATCTAGCCCTGCATCAGGCTCCCCGCTCAGCAGGGAGTCTGCTTCTCCCTCTGCCCCACCTCCCACCCCGCCCCCGCTGTGCGTTCTCTCAAATAAATTTGTAAAAAAAAAAAAAAAAAAGTGAGTCCCTTTTATCTGATCAACATTTTAAACATATCTTGAACTCATGCCTAACTACACACACACACACACGCACATGCACACACAGTCATATACACACACAATATCAGTTTCCCGTGCCTCATGCAAGTAAGATTGCCCCGTACAAAAGAGCTCCCATGTGATTCCTCAGCAAGAGCCCAGCTTCACTTCCTGTGCTGCCAAATTCAGGGCAGCATGAGCTCTTAGGACAAAGCATGGTTCACTGTATTCAACTCTACCTTCTGCAGACATCCAGCATTTTGGATATTTACCCTCATTAGGATCAAGTTACGATCTTTTCTGCTCACGTGTTAAACACACTCAAGACTTCCAAATGCCTAAATATTTCATTAGGGAAAGAGTCTGCCTCTAGATGGCTTCTTTTCTGTCCTGTGTCCAGTTAAGAAAAAAAAGAGTCCTTCAACTTCTGCCAGATGGCCTCCTTCAGCTAATTTGTCTCTGCCTAATCTTTATCAGTTTACTGCTGATGGTCAAATGTTTCCTCCTAAGGGATAAACATTACACTGGGAGTTTTTTTATCAGGTTGTCCATCTTTAACATGCTATGTTGTTTTTCTTCCACATACTTAAACATTTTAAATTATATTTAAATATTGAAATGAAATTTTAAATTTCAGCAGCAAAATACTTAAAACCATGTCATATAAAGCTATTTTTAAACATGCGTCTTGCTCTTCCTGCAAACTGCCCTCTAATTTGTGGGCCACGTAAATACTCTTTTCCAATAGGATGTGAGCAGCAGTGGTGAGGAGGCATGCCCTCCCTTTGCTCATCAACATAATCACGAGGATTCCAGAGATGCTGGAGGAGGTGAAGCCCTGAGAAAGAAGCTTCCCTAAATGCGTGTGTGAAGCAAAGGGTCCCTCCTTAGAGGACTGCCACGTGACTGAGAAATAAACATGTGTTATGCTGAGCCACTGAAACTGTGTTGTTTCACAACAGCAGTTGGCCTATCCCCAGCTAGAGAGTAGTAGTAAACAAGAGTTTAGATTGTCAGGTAAGAGAAATAAGAAAGGTAACAACTGAGATCAAACCAAAGGCGGGTGGTGAGGGCCCAGCAAACAGTGCGTCATGCAAATCCATACTCACGCCGACCGCAACCATGACTTCAATTTAGCAACATTAGATTACTTTTTAAATCTGGCAGTTTAAAAATATAAGCAGCACGATATTTTTTAAATGAAGTAGTATGTGGAATCCCAAATATAAGCTAGAGACACAGAGCAGTTGTGGCTGAAGTAAGACTGGAGGGCAGAGCCTTGCCTGCTTAGCGCCCCCGGTACGTGGCTACAGTATCCGAGCACTCAAGAAGGCAATTTGAAAATTCATGACTTTACAGTATTAATTTCCAGATGCTCATGTTAACATTTCTGTTATCAACATGCATAAACTGAATTAGTCAAGAGTATTCTTTTTGTTTCTATTTCATACCAAATGCTTAATTCATTTCTAAATTCATTATAACGCAAACACTAAAGCTATGATGTCATCTCTTAGATTGCACAGCTTTGCCCACATTGCTCAGGTTGTTCTGCATTGTTTGTTATTCTCCTCCCCCATTCTTCTCACTGTATTGTCTTTCTTCTTTACTAAGGTATTATTATTATTGATTCAGTAAGTGTTTATTTAATGCCACTATGTGCTAAGCACGAAGGATACCCCGATGAACAAGACCAGTAGGGCAACTGCTCCCAGGAAGCTTAAACTAAGTGATCTTGACTCTTGTAAGCATTCACAACTAGTTCCTACTTTCATTATACCCTAACGACAACATGCGACCTGGCTGACGTCTTCAAGTTCTGAAGATTTTCAGTAGCCCAACATATTTACCAATCCTGCCTATTAGCTCTTTTCCTGCAAGAATATCTATTATTTATAAGCTAGATCACCAGCATCTATTCTCCTTTTCTGAATTCCAGATATATTTCTCTATTCTACTCAACATATTGCTAATTTAACTAGTTTTTTTAGTGTATTTTATCAGTTCGTTTTGGCTTGGTTTTGTTTGTTCTTTTGTATGCAACCTCCTTTCATCCAAATCCGTTTTTAAGTCAGTTTTAAAAAAATAAAATCTACTTGAATCCCATTAAGGAGAAAAAAAATTTCATCTTCTAAAATTCTCTTGTTTCACAGCAGTAATTTTTCTCTAAGCTCATACAACTTTGGTCCATTTTTAATGTTGAATTAACTGTTTTTCATAGATGCCATGATATATTTTATTTTTTTCACTTTGCTTATCCTTAGCAGAGGTCCCTTTAGAAAGATGGTGAGCACATTGGTCCTTAGGGACTTGGACTACATTTATCTTGGAGCAGACATTTAATCAGTTTTGTTACAGGACAAAGAGTACCACAGAGGAACTACCTCCCTTTTGAAGGAGCAAAAAGGCAAAAGTTATTTCCACAACTCAGTTGAATACTAGACATAAGAATATAGAACATTCCATGAAAGTGAAATGCATACAAGTAAAATACATACTCAAGTGTCTTCTCTAGGAAATTCAGAAGACAAGGTGAGGCCAAGGACCTCTGGTCCAAAAAAAAATCTCGGGGGTATTAAGAAGCAAGAAGAAGTGACCAGATCTTATACAGAAGCTGGTGAATGACTACGCAAAAGAGGCTCAGGAGAACAAAGAAAGAAACAGAGAGTCAAGGACAGACTCCAAGGGGCTGGTTTTCAATAGTTACAACTGATGACAGAAATTTCCATGAAATTAGAGAATGCTTCCATTATCAGAATGCCATACAACAAATTTAATTGCTACATATTTAGAAATTGTATATAAGTCAACTTAAAAGGACAGGTTATTTTTGTGACTTATACAGCACCATAAAAGACCATGTTACAAGATGAAAACATCTAAATTTGGGGCGCCTGCTTGGCTATATTGGTTAAGCATCTGACTCTTGATTTCAGCTCAGGTTATGATCTCAGGGTTGTGAGATCAAGCCCCGAGTCAGGCTCCTCACCCAGTGGGGAGTCTGCTGGATATTCTCTCTCTCTCTCTCTCCCTCTGCCCCACCCCCCACTTGTGCTCACTTTCTTGCGTGCACTCTCTCAAATAATCTTTAAAAAAAAAGAAAATGTCTAAATTCATAGAATTTTCAACTAAAACATCTGTCGATCACTTTTCATTTTAACTACTAAATGCACCATATGTTGTCCTTTCATCAACATGTTAGAATAGATAAAACAGGCTATTGAGTCAAAGTGTTACTCTTACCCTGAAAAATCAGCAGAGTATTGTCCATAATCAAAGATATAGACTCTAGTAATTTGGCACACTGTGAGGTATCCCAAAGCAAACACAAAACAATATCTGGAAAACAAAAATAAACTAGATTAGTGAAAATAAAAGATTCATTTTGTTAAAAAATACATTTTAAAGTAATTTATTAACCATGATTCAAAATTTAAATGGTTCAAAAATTAAATATTTCCAGATCTATTCCACAAATAGCTTTCTTCAATAAACCATAAAAACTCTTTACTAGTATCTGCTTTACTTTTGTAAATTTTGTACCATCTTCAATGGTAGATATATCTAATTACTGCTTTTATTAATTTTTTCCTTCTGAAAGACCTTCATGAACCAAATTATATATATGAAAGTCATATTCACAAGTATAAAACTGTGAGTACTGGTATTTCTATTTTTTTTTTTTTAGAAAACACAATTTGGCCCAAAAATATTTGGGCCAAATAAATTATACATTAAACAAATTCTTAATAGGATTTTAAAAACTTGTTCTCAACATTATAAAATCATTCATCCTTAGTGTGGATCAGGTGGCATTTGCTCACATTTTATAGGTGTGAACATTTAGTGATTTTCACATTCTCAAGGTGCTTGGGACAGAGTTACAATAATTAAACACATAGTATGGAAAAGAATTTACATATCAATATGAAAAGAACAGAAACAGATTCTAGAACACATAACACTGCACAGGATGAAGGCTGAACTGCAAATGAGCAGGGAGAGATTATCATCTAAACAGTTAACAATATAATTCTAGATAGACTAAAGAACTACTGTCAGCAGAAAAACCAGAACACACAGGAAATGTGGATAAATATCCAGACATTCTCAAATTGGGGAAGGATTTCTAAACATTGATCACATAGAAGAAATCAATAGGAAAAACTCAATATATTTGGTTACTTTAAAATCTTAAGTTTCCTGCATAGGCAATTTCAGGTGGTTTTATGAAAGAAATCTTTTAAACTTGGGGCGCCTGGGTGGCTCAGTCAGTTGAGCGTCTGACTCTCGATTTCAGCTCAGGTCGTGATCTCAAGGTCCTGGGTGTGAGCCCCGCGTTGGGCTCTGTGCTCAGCGAGGACTCTGCTAGAGGATTCAGTTTCCCTTTTCCTCTGCCCCTCCCGACTTGCCATGTGTACACTCTCTCTCTCTCAGATAAATATTTTTTTAAAAAAAGAAATCTTTTAAACTTTAGACAAATAGGTAATTTTGATCTACTTGAATTATTCCTGGGGAGGGGGGTGGAAGGAGGATAGCTTCCTAATTCAAATGTTTTACAAAACTAATATACTCCTGATAACTGCATCTGACAAAATAGCACACATGCATACTCACACACAGAGTGCTGACAAATCAAACTTAAAATAATGTCTAAAAATCATGTGGCTGACTGTGTTTCCCAAGGATGACCACAACAACATCTCCCATTTCATATGCTCTTCTATAACCCTACCTTCTGCTCCCCTCATTACGAACAAGAGTCTATTTCTCTATCCACTTTGAATCTGGGTTGGCCTTCCAGCTCCTCTGACCAGTAGGTTACGGCAGAAGTAATACTTTGCTAGTTCCAGGCATAGCGATAATTAGCCTGGCACTTTCTACTTCTTGCCTTTTGGAAGTTGACTGTCATGAAAGAAGTGTGACTATCCTGAGACCACCACATGGAGAGGCTCTGGAGGATGAGACACCATGCAGAAGAGAGTGAGACAGACAGACACCAAATCGTAAGACGTGTGCGTGAAGAAGTTGATGCCATATCAAAAAGAGACGATCTATCCAGTTGAGCCCTTTCTGAATTCCCGACCCACAAAATTATTAGGAAAATAATATACCTATTTGTTTTAGGCCAACACAGTTTGGTGGAGTGGTAGAATCGGAACAGAATTTGGTAAGTGAAAATGGGGTGCTACCATAATAAAAATCTGGAACACAGAGCACAGGCTTGAGGACTGGGTACAGATGGGAAGTGTAAAGGCCTTAAGGAGATTGCTAGTGAAGATCTGAAGGGCAGTAAGGAAATTGTCACTGGAAGCTACAGAAATTGGCTAACACTGCTGCTCAATCCAACATGGAAAACAGAACACATACCACTAAAAATGCCAACTGGTTCCTTCCAGATGCATACAATAAGGTATGGATATAAAGAGATGAACTAAAAATGAGCAGTATTCAGGTTTTTAGCAGAATTTAGAAAAAAAAAGAGAGCTCAGGATAATCTTTCCAGTCACAAAATACTCTCAAAGATTTCACAGTAAAGATGAAGTGAAGAGTATTCTTTAATGATACCTCAGAAGATGTAAGGGCACATCTTTAGAGGACCTCTCAGAAAAAAAACAACAGTTTCCAAGAATCTTAAGGTTAAGCCTCTTAGACTCTCTGCTAGACAAGAACGTTTTCAAGAACCTGGAGGATGCTGTCCCACAGACTTTCAGACCACAGTAAAAGAAGATGGTCTAAAAGAGGCCGTGGGTGTGGCTTCTGTCTAATGCAGGAGATTCAAAGACATAGGAAGCCCACATGAGTCTTTAAGAGAATTATACGAGACTGGATGAAAAGGGAGAAGCAGTTCAAAATGAAGAGATCTTTCTGTCCCCAATTATCTACTGGTAGGTAGCAGGCTAAGAAAGCTGTTCAACCACAAAATCTGGCCATTTCTTGTATAAAAGGATAGCTCAGGGTGCAGAGAAAGAGCCACAGAGAACAACTCACAGGGATGAGGTGGGGCACTACTCAAGGAACGGGTAAGAGGTGTCCATCTGGACTTCACAATTGCTATGGACCAGAGATTGCTAAGAGACTTACATTCCTCTCCTCTCTTAACAGAAAGATCTACTACAGTTACCCTCTCACCGTTCACCGTTGTATATCGGCTACTGGGGGGAAGGAGACAAAAACTTCCCCATTGGTCCTCACACGAAGAAGAGCTTAATTTGAGAAACCACAATGAAGAAGCCCCATCCACAGTAGACCCAACTTAGATGAACAGATGGAGGTGTCAAGCTGGATGCAATAAGGAGGTGACACTCTGGGGTCTTGGGAGGAAGAGAGAAAATTTTTATGCAGGACGTATGTATATTGTGGGGGCCAAAGGACTGTCTCCAAATTGCTGCCCCCAGTAAAAACCCTCCTGCACATGTAGCTCCAAACAGCAAGAGATGGAATACAATCCTCTTCCCCTTGGAAGGAGCTGGACTTAAGAACCTGGTTTACCGACAGAATATAATGGAAATGACTTCCTGAAACTTCAAGGCCCCAGTCAGAAGAAGTCTTGCAGCTTCCTCCATCTCATTCTTGAAATGCTTGTCCTTAGCATACTCTGAGCCCAGCCATCACACGTGAGCAGACCAAGCCCACACGGAGAGGTAACAGTCCCAGTCAACAATCCCAGCTGATCTCCCAGCCAACAGTCAACTTCGACTGAAGGGAACCATCTTGGATGTCAAGCAGTCAAGCTTTCAAATGACCACAGCCCCAGCCAACACGCAATAGCACCCACATAAGTCCTTGAGCAAAGATTGTCCAGCCAAGTCTAGCCAACACACAGAACCATGAAAAATAATAATAAACTGCCGTGAAGCCACCGAGTTTGAGTGGTTTGTCATGCTGCAAAAGATAGCCAAAATAATTCCTTAGTAAAGAGTTTAGCGTACTACAACTAATGGTAATTTAAAATAAAATATCTTGATCAGGTAGGGCTTATTTGATAAATGCAGGTATGAGTCACTATAAAAGGACTAGTGATATCTATCATCACAGTGATGTACCAAAGGGAAAAACAGTTATAGTCAATACAGAGAACGCCATCTAATAAAATTTAACAATGTTTCCATGTAAGAATTAGAACTCTCAGCAAACTAAGAGAGAAGGATGCGTTCTTAACATATAAAAAAAATTGTCAGAACACTCGGTACTTTGTCAGCCCTGAGACACTACTAAATCCTGGGGGAAAGCATATGGAAGTTTCTGAAGTGGGAAAGAAGTAGGATATGTGTTAGTTTGGATGAACTTAATCTTAGACTTACTCTGAAAATTCAAATAACATAAAGTCCACTCTTCTCAAATTAATCTCTAAATATAACATCATAATCCCAATCAAAATCCTAACAATACTTCCAGCGGAACTTGACCAACTGACTTTCAAGGTCTCCTGGAAAACTAAACAAACATATGATGAGGAGGACTTGCCCGATCCCTGCAGATAAAAGAACATGTCACAGTGATTTATAATGTAGTATTGTTTCATAAACAGATCAAAAGATTAACCAAACAGAGAAGAAGATTCAAAAAAAGACTCATCCAACTGCAAGTTTCTGTTTATTAAAAGCTGGCATATGAAATTAGTGGGAGAAGGATGAATGAGGTAAATGAGGTTTAAAAGTTAGCTTTCTTTTCAGAAATAAAAATAGTTTCCTGGTTCGCACTACACACACACATACAAAAATCCAGGTTAATGTAAAAAAAAAAAAAAAAAGGACAATAAAAAGTACCAAAATAAAATACAGAGGAATATCCTCAAAATCTTGGCATGGGAAAATCCTCATAAGCATGACAAAAATCATAAATGCCATGAAGATAAAGTCTGACAAATATTTACCATATAAACACTGGAAATTTCTATAGGACAGATGACAGAAAATTAAATAACAGAAATTGTTTACTACACGTAGATGAATATCTTTAGCAAGAAAATTCCACAAATCAGTAAGAAAAGGATTAAGAAATCAAGTGAAAATGGATGAGAATGAGAATGAGTAAATAATAGAGTTAAAAAAAATTATAAAGTCAGACCATTTAGAAAAATAAATGAGGAGTGCCTGGCTGGCTCAGCTGGAGGAAAGGATGACTCTTGATCTCAGGGTCATGGGTTCGAGACCCATGTTGGGTGTAGAGATTACTAGAAAAAATAAACTTAAAAAAAGAAAAGAAAAGAGATTCAAGATAAGGAATGATCAGGAAATCATAATAATAATCCAGAAATGCATATTAGAATTAGGGGCACCTGGGTGGTTCAGTCAGTTAAGGGTCCGACTCTTGGTTTCAGCTCAGGTCATGATCTC